CATGGGACGTCCAAGGGATCCCAAAAGAAAGAATATCAAGAATCTTAACAAGGGTAACATGTGAAGCCTCAATAAAATTCCCAGCAGAACAAGAATCAAAAGTCTTAGTCTTCTTTATGGCGCCTTCGACAACAAGATCTTTGTCTCGGCCCCTTTTGATGGGACCATCTGCAGAAAAAGAAGGATGCTCGTGAGACTTATTACTCCGCCTTTAAAATTTGTTATATGAATTCAGAAGAGGAAGGTCGGGTTATGATACAACCACGTCCGATTGTAGCTGAGTTTAAAAGAAGGATGCTAAGGAAAGTCATAATGACCTAAAAAATGCAAAGCCTTTGTAGCATTTATGGCTTCCATAGCCTTCCTCCTTTTGTAAAGGTTCCTGAGAGAGGTCGTCGAATATTCAAACAAAGGAAGACAATAACTCGCTAAAAAAAATTCCCTTCACCAAAAATTCCTTTCCTTTCCTGGGTACCAGAAGCATCCAAGACATCCCGTGAGTTAATAACCCGCCTCCGCTGCTTCATAGATCCTACTTCCTTAGGACTTTTTCCCTTCTCATAGCCTAATTGTTTCTATAAGGACACCTGATCCTTCTTCAATAACTCCTCTTTTGGGAAAAGTTTGTCTTCACCAAAAGAGTACCTAATAAACTCTTGCTCAAAATGGTCCCGAGTATAATACTTCCTAACCATTTCTCTGTATCGAGAAGAATGAGAGGGGAGGCTAGAATCTCCTAGTCAACTTTACATAAAATTGAATGAGCCCTTGGGTTCAAAGTAGTTACTAAATTATAGTAGTCATTGAAGTTCTTCTCACTATCCATATATAAGTCAAACACCTTGTTCGACCGACGAATATAAAGGATCCCCTGACCAAACAGAGTCTTTCGAAGTCTGGAATACAAGGAACATATTGAAAAAGAGCCGAACATAAGGCTCGACCCTTTGACACTCACACTAATATTGAAACACATTCTCAAAAGCCCAAGCAAACAAATAAAATTAAGAAGGAGATATGGCCAAGTGATTCAGCAAGTCCTCCACGAAAGTAGTAAAGGGTAGCTTGAATTTCAGTCGGTTGAAAAGATACTTGCAGAAAGGAATGACATACCTATCATAGCGGCTGCAAATCTGCTTACCCTCACGAATATGAGAAGTTGATTCGCTGTCATGCACGGATCAAAAACGAGTATTTTTAAAAACGTAGTAAAGGGAAGCGACACCTGGATGTCGTATCGCAAGGATTCTTGTATTGAATTAACCAACTAAAGTAAATTTTTATGGGGGTGGGTTTAAGTTTCGATTAAGAAAATATGAGAAAATAAGTGATTATAAAAAAAGTGTTTATGAAATAAGCTAAAATGGCTAATCCTATTGATTCGGATTCCGACTTATCATCGGCTATTATAACACCAATCTCTAAGCGGCTCCGATCCTATTCGATTATGAGATCAATTAGACAAGCGCTTATCAAATCAAATGAATTATGTTCCTGTTTACCGAATTAAGAAAACGGTTAAGAATATGACGAGTTAATGAATTAAGCAAACAATAACACATAATTAAATTTAGGAACTTGCATACAATCGAATTTAATCAATTATATCATATGAACAACAATTGAATTAAGCAAACAATTGCAATCAAATTAAGCAAGTGACTTCATAGAAAAGGATTGAAAGAAATCGAATTTAAATTGGTATTAGAATAGCCTCAAAGCGATTGAACCCGTAAGCAGTAGGATTTGCCTTCGGGAACTAGTTCTCCATTCAAATCGTACAAAACAAAAGAAAAATTGTGAAAAGAAGGTAATGAATAGTAGCACGACTGCTACTAGGTATAGGGAAGCATCACAAAATCCGGTTCTAACCCAGCTGAGTCGAAAAACATAAAAAAACCCGGCTCAAAACTAAATATTCCTAAAGGTAGAATTTGGGTCCTGACTTTAACTAATTATTCGAGCCTGCTACACTCTGAATTAGCTTCTACCTACAACATGAAAATTATATCTCTTTGTCTCAGCTTTCTAACGCCTATTATAATGCGTAAATCCGATTCTTGTAGCTCCAATTATGATCCGAACAATGAACATGTATCAAATAACCGCTAATGCTAAAAATAAGCTGCAAAAATAGATTAAAGGAAAATAAAGACATAGTTCTAAAAATATAATAAAACAGTAAAATAAACAAAAGAAACTAAGGAAATGCCTAAGTACAAACATAAGAGAATGTGCATTAAAATGCACTGATCAGAATGACCCAGTCAGAAATCAGACCCACCTTTATGCGAGCGTCGACAACCTTCATTGAATGACCATAAATGAAGACGGTCCATATTACCTAAGGATAAACCTAAGGTTAGAGTCCCGAATCAGGAAGATGAACTAAAATAGGTTGTCTTTGTTTAACCATTGCGTCCCAGGTGTCACATAAAAGATAACAATGATCATATGTGAGATTGTTGTTCCTAAAGAAGAGATGTTCCTTTATTTCTTCTTCTGCGGGTTTCCTACCACTAGTGGCGGAAAAAGTCTCAAAAAATCGATGGACCCTTACTTCATTTTAAGAAAAAATTGCTACCTCTATCTCTTCATGATGACGAACGAAGAAAGTCAAGCGTGCAATAACCTTTAGATAAATTGAAGAGTGGGAATTTCCCTCCTCATTCTCGTTAGAAGGGCTGGAAGAGCCACCTCCACTCTCAACAAAATCTCCTCCAGTTCCATAGCTATCACTAAGAATAATTAAATTAGAAATATAATCATTAACCTCCAAAGGCTCGTCATTAGAGATGTCAGGATTTTCATAAATGACCGATATAAGAGAGTCACCCCCACTATCTCCATTTATGTTCAAAGGTATACCCCCTAGGTCATCCATGGAAAGAAACAAAATAAAAAAAAGGAAGGGCCAAGGAAGAAATGGTACCTGGAGAAAGAGGTTGAGTAGAGTAAATTGTTTGAATACGAAGTGGCGACAACACTAAAACTCAAATAGGAGCAGAAACTAATGGAAATAAAGGAGGATCACCTAAAGTAATGTAGAAGTAAACATGAAAGTAAAGTAATGTAGAATCATTAACCTCCAAAGGCTCGTCATTAGAGATGTCAGGATTTTCATAAATGACCGATATAAGAGAGTCGCCTCCACTATCTCCATTTATGTTCAAAGGTATACCCCCTAGGCCATCCATGGAAAGAAACAAAATAAAAAAAGGAAGGGCCAAGGAAGAAATGGTACCTGGAGAAAGAGGTTGAGTAGAGTAAGTTGTTTGAATACGAAGTGGCGACAACACTAAAACTCAAATAGGAGAAGAAACTAATGGAAACAAAGGAGGATCACTTGAAGTAATGTAGAAGTAAACATGAAAGTGAGAGCAAAGTGAAAAAGAAAGAAATCGAAAAGTTAAAAAAAAACCATAAAAAATTTATATAAAGATGGGGAAACTTTACAAAATTATGGGCTGACACCTTCTCGAGGTCAGCATAATGATTCAATGGCTCAGATACCTTCTCGAGGTAATTAATAAACAAACTCAAGTGCACTCAAATGGTATGACCACACATGTCACTCCCTAGACTAAAACAACCTAAAGATTAGACAACCATTTATTAAAAAATTTCAATGACTTTCATTCTCCAGCTCGAGATATAAAAACATAACTTTGTCCGACCCGGTGTAAAGATTTACCGCGCTTCTCAACATAACAAACATGGAACAAATATTATGGATCATACCTAACATCCAAAGAGAAATGTCAATAAAACTCAATTCTTCTCAACTTTTAAATACCACTTATGTGCCCCTCAAAAAGGTACAAAATTCATTTCTCAAAACTTCAATTCACTTTAAATTTTTCCATAACTAATTTGAGCATTAGAATATTAAGCTTGCAAATTAACTTCATCTAGCGTACCAAATAGATAGTCCATAGTCCCGTCGCAATTTATATTTTAGAGTAGCTTTTTCAACCATCATGATTCTAATATAAATCAATAGGGGTGAAAATAAGTTGGGCTGAACTAGGCTTTGGCAAACCTGAGTCTGACCTGCTAAAAAATTCAATGCCTAAGCCTGATCTGTAGCCAACCATAGGCTTATTTTAAAGCCTAAGCCTGACATTTTCCAATGCTTGATTGACCTATTGACATATTTAAAAGCCCACTTCATTTGAACGTTTGTAAATTAGAAATTCAACTAATGTTAAATAGACTAACAAATTAAAATATCATTAAGATTAAATGTTTGTTTTCATTGTCTCATTCAAGTTTATCTATTAACATAAGTTTGGTGATACTATTTTTTGGAGAAAATTTATAAAAAAAATTATGACAACAACTTATGACATTGTTTATAATGTTTTTTCAACTTATTTTCATAAGTTGTTCAAAATAACTAACCTTTATTTTCGTATTTTAATTCAAAGTACAAAATACAATATAATAATAATAAATTTATTAAATTTTTTATAAATAGACCAGTCTAATAGGTTTAAAACACTTTTTTTTATCATAGGTGACAAAACCTCTTTAGTTAAATAGAATTGTAAAAAGTCTACACTTTTTCTATTTAAAAAAAACATAGACTGGACTGAGTCTATGTAGGCTAGGCCGAAGACCCTTAGTAGATAGTAGGGCCTATTCCCACCCTATAAATCAATTAGTATATTGACAATGACACTACAACTAAAACTGTATCCGCCACTTCTGATTGCATTTTGCCACAGTAACAGCGTTCACTAGGAACCATGACAGCAATTTATAAGCATGAACTTACCAAATTAAAAATATGAAAAACCGTTCATGTTTATTTGGTGACAAGTAAAACCCTCAAAATTTATGGCCATATTAATAACTCAATAGAAAAACAAGTCAGAATTAAGTACGCAAAATGATTAAAGGGCAAAAATAGACTAAAGGATGAAGAAGGAGAAATATACAGTATTGTTATGTGAGAACTAATACAACGCTTTTGTGGTTAATAAGTTCTCTCTTCTTCAATGATCGAAATGCAGTGTTTCACCCTCTTGCAAAGGCACAGCTTGCCAAGCCGAAGCCGCAATGAGAGGGCGGCTATGCCAACCCAAACTCAAGCTCCCTTGGTTCTCTTCCACGCAATAACCCTCCGCAGAAAACAGAGTCAACAGCATACTCGCTTGCTTAAATGCATTCGAACCCAAATGTAGCGGGCTGAACCCGGCTTTACCAAGCCGCTCCCTCCACTTAACAAGCGGTTCATGTCTCTCAACTCGAGCCGAACCCTCGCAGCAAACCACATTGCATATCTCCCTCTGCAGAAACATCTCAGCCATAGCCTTGTCCGGTTCAACCGAACACGCCTCAAGCGAGTCAAAAACGGTCGAGTAATAATGAAGTGCCTCCGTGAACCGCTCCATAAACCCATCCTCGTTATGGTTCGCTTCCTGCTCCACAACCGTCATGATTTTCGGGTTCAAACTCCGGATCCAACCCAAAACCATTTCAATACCCGAAGAAACCAGGTCAGATTCAGATCCGAGAAGACGATGAAGTTGCATAATCGAGTTAACCGCCACAACTTCCTTTGAACTCACCTGAAGCATCCACGGCTTCACATCCTCAAGCCGCCAAGCCGCAACTCCACGAAACGCGAATCTAACGTTTACAGATCGAGCCAGCTCGGCTAACCTCAACCCGATTTCGCGGAGGTTGTCACGCTCATCCGGCGACGGCGGACCAATGCCGGTTAGCCGCAGAAATGGAGGTCCCCCAGGACGAAGAGCAAGAGCTTGAATCAACGCCGGCCATTGAAGACCGTGCATGAGGTTGAAATCAATAACATGAACACAATCGTGGCCGTTGAAAGCTTCCAGTATAGCTTGATTAGCTGTGAAGTGAGCGAATTTGAGGTAAGGACAAGCTTCGTAGTAGTGATGGTAAAGAATATCGTTCTCATTCGGAAGAGAAACATTGATAACATTGTTTATGCCGAACATACGGCGGTTCAAAGCATCAATGAAGTAACCGGCGACTTTTCCAATGCCGCAGTTGGTGTTCATCTCTGCCAACAACCTTTGCATGCCTTCAATTAACGAGCCAGCCAATGGTAAATTGCCACGTTGCAAGGAGTCCGCACATGACATCAGCATGTGAACTACCTTTATCGCCGAGTCTTCTTCAACTGTAGTCACCACCTTTAATTGGTGGAGGTAGTGTTGATCTTGTGGCTGTGGCGGCGGCGGTGCGAGATCTGGTAGTTCAGAAAAATCATAAGGTAGAGAAGCTGTGTGGTCGAATTCAGAGAGGAGATTGTCCACCCAGTTGCCAATATCGGAGGGATCGTAGTGGACAGTATCAGAAGCAAATTGAGAAATGTCGTTGGATGAATTCACAATCGCGTTCTCCAACCGTTCGATATTATGAGCTACTTGATGCAGCTCAGAAGACCGGACTTTGTATCCGACATCGGCAAGGAGGCCGTCGATGTCTTTCGTCTTGGAAGAGGAAGAAACTAAATCTATATCCATGAATAACAAGCTATTATATCAAATTATATTTAAAGTTGAAGCTTGAAAACATGCAGATAGAAGCTGAGTGTTTATAAGAGAGTTTGATTGTGTATAGAGTCAGGCTTGGGAGTGATGAAAAAGAGGAGAAAGAAATAAAGAAAGTGATGTTTGAGGAAATTAAGGGAGAAGCTGGGTTGTAAAATGCATGACTATGATGGGTTACTAATTTGTGTCGAGTAACTATCTGCAGTGCTAGCACATACTATTTGATTGATGCCACTACTAATATAATGTTCAGCTTTTTTTTAAAGGTACTCTATTGTCACGGCTTCAATTTTTAGTATCCTAAAGAGAGCAAAAGTAGGCTTTGATAATTTAGATGCTGTTAGTCCAATATTGGGATTTGGGTTCAACAAGTGGTTGCTCTTGGGTCTACAGCTTCTATCAGTATATAGTACCACACTAATAATACTCCAAACTGTGAAAAGAAATTAAAGTATTACGGTACTGCTGTTGTTAATTGTTTGATTCCGATTTACTTCAATTCCATCTTTGGAGCACTGTTATTTCACATGCTATGCTACTTCTCTTCAAATTGATTTAATTTTTTTTTTGCTTTCTTCTTATAACTGCTAAACTAGCAGGTGATAATTTGTATTCAATTCAAAGATGAGAAAGAACCCTGACACACTTGACAGCACCTTGCTTTCACTAGCTTGTTTTTCTTTTTTTTCTTCATTTAGAACCCACGGTATACTGCAGATAAACTGTACTACATAGCCTACACATAAAGAAAATTATCATACATCAATTCATCTATAACATTTCAATTTGGTCATGTGATTTTCAGTACCCGACCCAATGAAGCAGAAAGGTTGATGATGGGTCATATACAATTTCCCAGTTTCTACCATATCTATTCGTTAAGCTAATTCCATGCGGTTCACTAATTACAGAATTCTAGACTGATTAGGTGAAAATGTTGTTAGCATTGTCACTGTTCTTTTACCTTAAATAGTTAGAAGTTCTAATTAAGTAGTAATTTGTATAAATGTATCACATGCCCAAATAAGAAAATCTTTTTTTAAGTGTAATGAACTCAATGTTAAGGTGGCATTATCTAATAAGTTCTCATTACTGTCCCAATTAGTTCCATTTTAAAAGCTTGTAAAGTGATAATATGCTTTTGTGTAAAGACACTATGTGTATCACTCATAATAGGAAAGGTTTTAGTGAATCTCTCTTTCTACGTGCTTTTCTTATCTTTACTCTATGCTGCTAATAATTTTTAAATACTGTTTTGGGTTAATCAAAAAGTTTATTATTTAATTCCGTTAAATCACTCCGGTTGATAAGTGTGTACAAATATTAGATGTGACTTTAAATTCACAATCTTCTACTTATTTATTTTTAAAGATGAGTTTCACTCTAAAATTCTATCACTTAATTCTATGTATTTTTTTTTTCTCGTTTTTGTTTCTATTACAAGTGGTCCTTTGATTTTGTGTCTGTTAAGCCCCTACTTGCTTAATTAAGTACTTAACTAATTTTATTTAAAAAAAATTAGATTAATTTGCATTATTCGGTACCCAAAAGTACAGTATTTCCTTCAAGTATAACGTCATTGTAACTAGAATATTCCTCTCAATACCATGTGTCAAAGAAAGCATCTTAAGGTATAATTGCTGATAACTCATTTAAAAACTATAGCATCCATTTTGATTTATATAAATTCAAATCTAACGTCACAATAAAGAATGTGCTTATATTAGCTTAATGACGACAAGAGTTTAATTAGATAACAATTTAATTGCGATATTCACAACTTAACTACTTAAAATAATTGGCTACCCTGAATGCCTTGGCACTATATAAAAACCTTTCTTAGTGTGAGATTGAGGAGGACTAGTTCAACTGAATTTAAGCAAAGAAACTAATTATTTTACTCTCCATCATTCTCACAAAAACGTAAAGAGTTATCAGTTAATTAATTCGATGTGACAATATAAACATGGTTTTGTGAACCTTAAGGTGATAACCTTTTGTGCATTCCCAAACAACTATTAATTAAGAGTTTATTCTATTTCAGCTTATAACAACTTGGGAATAAAATAATATAAACGTTTCAACTTAAAATATATACAATTATTGGGAGAGATAAAGAGAATAGGAAAAGATATCTATAGATTTGATAAGGAGGTTTGATAACTCAATAGGGTTGAACTAAACATATTTAGAGGATCGAAGATTAAATCATGAGTTGGAAAAAAAATACTATTTTGGATTTAATTATGAATTTTGTTACAAAGAGTCTAATTTTGTTATAAAAAAAAAAAAACTCCTTTATGCAATTGATTAGAAGTGTCATATTTTCAATTGTTAATTTTTGGTTGCAGCTGTTTCTTCTTTCCAAAAAAGTGATATTTTATATAGAACAGTTGTGTAGAAATTTCTTATAGACTGTAGAAGCAAGTTTCATCTCAAAGTTTTGATGACGTCAACATCAAAATCAAGAATATTTCATCTGTGCAAAAAGGCAAACACTTTCAAAAGACCAAGATCAAGTGGAATGGAAGTGATCAACATTCAAAGCTTCATGAACATTTGACTGATCAACTTTCAAGTTTTGGACACAAGCTATGATATATCAAAATCCATTAATTTAATTGATATACAAGTGTTCAACATCTTTATCATTTGATAACATTGCATAAGCATATTTTTTAAACTATTAGAATTGGTATAACATTGTTTTTATAAGTATTTTTCTGAAAAATAGCAGTGTTAACCGATTAACCATATAGGTTAACCGGTTAACCATTTCAAATTTTAAATATTCTAGTATAACGTTCCAGTGTTAACCGATTAACACTGAACGTGTTTTGAAAAATGGCTTTGTTTCAAGTTCAAAAATGGTTTGAATATTATACCAGTTCATATTTTGAATTATACTCAAATATACCTGTTGGAAAAGGTGTGTTTACACATATAAATTCTGAGTTTTTCAAATTGGAAAAAAATAACCTCCAATAATCAATTTCAAAATATTCTTTGAATCAAATTCACCACTTTCAAATACTTTTCAAATCTTTTCAAAAGTGTTCATATTGATCATATCTTTTCATATGCATAGCATTGAACACTTGTGTTGAAATTAAAAGAGTGAATTTTGATCAGAAGGAGAAGATCAATCTCAGCATTGATATTACCATTATTACTCTCAAATCAAAGTATTCAGATTACTTGTATTTTGACTTGTGATCCAGGATTGTTGGACACAAGGGTGAGTGTTTACAAGAGGATTGTTCTTGTACACTTGTTGATTTTTATTGTTTGATAGTAGGCCTCACCGGTTGATGGTGTGATAGGTTGTACTTTATTAAACAATAGTGAAAAATCTCTTTCGTGTTGAAAGGGGAATGGAGTACTCTCGGATTGTGAGGGGAACCACTATAAATCTTGGTGTCCACTTTCCTTTTACTTTCTACTGCATTCATCACCAAGAACCTAACCAGTAAAATTTCAAGAATACCGAAAAATCGGAAAAAGTCCCTAAAAGTCTAATTCACCCCCCCCCTCTTAGGCATACTCTGTACTTACAATTGGCATCAGAGCAGGTTAAGGTAACCTGTTTCTATCGATCCTAATGGCTTCCGCTAGTACTAACCTGGTTTTCAAAGATGGTGGAAGCAGTAACAAGCCACCACTCTTTTCTGGAGAATACTTCGATTTTTGGAAAATTCGTATGAAGGCACATCTTGAGGCTCAAGGAGATGGTATATGGGAAACCGTAGAAACTGGTCCGCATGTTCCTATGAGCGTCATAAATAACGTAGGCACTCCAAAAATAAAATTCTCATATGATGAAGATGACAAGAAGAGAATTTTGAATGAGAAGAAAGCAATCAACATACTTCAAAGCGCTCTCAGTATGGACGAATTCTTCCGTATATCACAATGTAAATCAGCAAAAGAAACTTGGGACACCTTGGTAGAAACGCATGAAGGGACAGCCGAAGTAAAAAGATCAAGACTTAATACTTTAAGTCAAGAATATGAAATGTTCCGTATGCAGCCTGGTGAATCCATTGTTGCCTTACAAAAGAGATTTGTTCATCTAACTAATCATCTGATTGCTCTCGGGAAGACCTTCACCAATGATGATCTCAACTTGAAAGTCCTAAGATCCTTAACAAGAGAATGGCAACCAAAGGTGACCGCTATTTCGGAAAAGAAGAGTCTTTCAACAATGACGTCCACTTCCTTATTTGGCAAACTTCAAGAGCATGAACTAGAACTTGGAAGGCTTGAGAAGCATGAAAGTAAAGACAAGAAGTCCAAAGGAATTGCCTTGAAGATTGACACAAAGGATGACAAAAATGACGAATCTTCCGAAGACGAAAATTTCATGCTTTTAGTAAAGAAGCTTGGTAAGTTTTTTAATAATAATAAATTTTCCTCTTTTTCTAAAAAGAATAGACATTTCAGGAAAAAGGAGGCACCCACATCAAACCAAGAAATTACATGTTACGAATGTGGGAAACAAGGTCACATAAAGCCAGATTGCCCGAAACTCGCAAATAAAGGAAAATTCAAAGGCAAGAAGGATTTCAAAACGAAGAAGTCTTATGTCGCATGGGACGACAACGAAGTAAGTTCATCATCGGAATCGTAAAACGATGAATGTGCAAATATGGCTTTAATGGCCTCTCACCACTCCGATGAAGAAAATGAGGTTAGTAGTAATTTTTCTGTTTATGATAATGATGCACAATAAGTTATAGATGAACTTCTAAAAGAGTGCAAGACTTTGTGTAAAAGCATCTCATCACAAAAGAAAAGAATCTCATCTTTAGAAGAACAAAACTCTGTTTTTATAAAAAATATTGAAGATGAAAAACAGAAACTGATGGATGAAAAACAAAGTCTTGTATGTAAGAATTGTGAGTCTTTATCTTTCCAAATTGTTCAACTCAAAAGAGTTTTAGAAAGATACGAAAAAGGTCAAATTGGCTTGG